AGACAGACAGACAGACAGACAGACAGACAGACAGACAGACAGACAGACAGACAGAAACAACAGAGGGAAATAAAAGAACCGGGATTTAACCATCGGCACCACCCAACCACCCGCCGCAAGCTGAGATAGAACCTTGTTATTCCTGAAGAGGTCGCGACTTAACGGGCCGCTAGACTTCGTGATCTCACGCTCACCACAGAGCTGACCATCTCCAACAGTAAGAGATACGTACGAACGGGCCGTCCGACTGTCGTAAGAAGATGAGGAGAGAGAGGAAAGATACTATCACAAAGGAATATCTAAACCTAATCCGCTCCGATAGCTGTGGTCCAGACACTACCACATGCTGCAAATCTAAAAGATCCGCACGTCTTTTTGTTTGGAGACTTACTCGGGTTTCTCTATCTTCTTATCGGAGCCAGATCTTTAAAGGCCCCCAATCCAAGGACCTTCTGTTGGTAATAAATCTACATCACAGACCGTGTCGTAAACACACGAGACAGTGTGTGATCTCCGTCTCCAAGCGTACTTAATCGTATGTATTATTTCTTGAGGAGCTCAAGACTTCACGATGCCCTTCTCAGATCAAATACGGGCTGAGTTAATTTCTTAGGCTGTTAACGCCCACTGGTATACATTGTGTATCTACAGCCTGTGGTCATCGTATTCAGCAAGAAAACCACCGCTCTCAATGTTCGAATTTTTTTCCTGCCATGTATGAAGTCGAAAGTTTGTTTGTTTTGTTGGAGTAAAGAGGAGAACATCAAAACAATGACCATCGGTTGATTATGGTCAGTAACCTGTATCAAAAGAAAGTTTTCTACTATTAAAAGAAAGTTTTCTACGAGGTAATTTCAAAACAAAAGGGTCTCGTCCTGTTTCCACGGCGATCAAGTTTTGTTTTGATAGGTGTTTAACGGCACTTGCAACACAATTAGGTCATTATAAGTGCCGAAGATTAAAGGAGCTACAAGAAAGGCACAAACACAAAACACAAAAAGAAGATGACATGTTTGATAGGAAAGAAGAAGCAAACCACACCAGCAGAGCACCCGCGAACCATCTACACAGTGATCAGGGAAGCACGGAACAAGGCACGGGGTCACAGCGTAAACTACCACATTAATTACGTAAACACCCTTATAATATGATGCATACACAAAGACGGTCCTGAGCTCGGCAGTACTTTGACCACTCACTGACCAGTCGATGACCACCGCCAGTCCCTCCCGTGCAGGGCACTGGGGGTATCGGTGACAGAGCAGGCGGTGGTCACCACGGAAGGGCCACGTCGCACCATCCATCACGCAAACACCTAGAAACGCCACAAGAAAGGGTTGACGGGAGGAAAGAAAAGACAGAGGGAGGAACGGGGGAGGAAACGGACAAGAGGAGGGGTACAGGAAAAGATAAGTGGGTGGGTGGGTGTGGGAGTAAAGGACAGAGGGAGGGAAACAGAAAAAGACAAGGGGGTGGGTGGGAGAGTAAAGCACAAGAGGAGGGACAGACGACAGAAGGGGTG